ACCCCTTGTGCCCCCCCACCCCCACCTGCAAGTCAGATTCATGCTTGGGGGAGGGGTTGGGAGGTCAACAGGTATAGGGTTAATTTCCAATGAAAGGAAAAAAAAAATCATTAAAAAGGTCAAAGAAATTCCAGAACCCTGGTATAACCATGGTGCCTTCTCATGTATTTTTTAGAAAATTGTTAATTCCTTACTTACCAAAAGTAAAAATGTAAACCACTATCAAACTTTCATTTAATTATTCTAATCTGGGCATACTAGGCCTGACACATATAAGAAATTTCTACTCACTGTTCACGTGCAAAAAACCACTCCCTGAAATAATTTACCATTCTTCTTACCAATTAAAAAGACAGTACACCAACGGTTATTTTTCCTATTTCCAAATATCCCCATAATGAAAAATTCACTCACTTTAACTTTTACTTTTTTAAACTCTTTCCCTACTTTCTTGAAATGGGAAATTTTCATTAAATTTAAATAGTATTCTGGAGTTCAGGCAGTCCCTAAGTTATAAACAAGATCAGAACAGGTGTATATGTTGTTGTTATGTGCCATCGAGTTGGTTCCGACCCACAGTGACCCTGTATAGGGTTTCCGAGAGTGTAAATCTTTACAGGAGTAGAATGCTTCATCTTTCTCCCGCAGAGCAGCTGGTAGTTTCGAACCGCTTACCTTAAGGTTCGCAGCCCGATTCGTAACCACTACGCTACCATGTAAGTGCTCATTTAACCTTTAGTGCTAAAGGTTTAAAGCCTTTTTAGTTGTTTAAAAGCTTCATGTATAACAAAGTGAAGGTGAAGATGACGATAACGAATGTTAAATTCAACAGTTTCAAAATTAGGGCAGATTTACATAACATTAAAGCAAGGTTTCAAAGATGGTAGCACCCCACTCAAAGATTGCTCCCCACTTTAAACATGTGTGAAACTTCACAGTTCTGCCAATAATCTAGTCACACATATCAGACTCCTGAATGGGTTCACTATGCCCCCTTCCGAGTTTCCCAATCCAGAGCTATGATGTCTACTTTCTCCATTCCAGTTACAGTGACAAATCACCCAAATTGTAAATATTCCAATCTGGTTCACTGCATTGGCCATGATAAAACCAGTTCAAAGTCATACCTTAACTAAGACACTGTCTCTAAGACATGTTCATAATCCAGGGACTGACTGTACAAGCTCACCTCATTTTACTATACAAACTTTATTTTTTACTTTTTAAACAAATTGAAGGTTTGTGGGCAAATCTATCAGTGCCGTTTTTCCAACAGCATGTGCTCATTTCATTTCTGTGTCACATTTTAGTAATCCTCATAATATTTCAAGCCTTTTCATAATACACAATTAATATTATAGTGTAAACATAACTTTTCTGTATGGACTTAAAAAACAACAACAAAAAAAAAAAAACAACAACATGTAATTAGCTTTATCGCAATGGCCTGGTACCAAACCCATATCTTCAAGGTATGTCTGTACTTCTTTCATCCTTCCTTGCCACCAATCAATAGTTGGATTACCACTTAAAATTCCAATTTATATTTGGTTCAGACCATGTTTCTATTTTGATAGCAGTGTCATGGAGTCAATTCCGACTTACAGCAATCCTGTATAGGGTTTCCACAGTGCAGATGGTAATTTTGAACCGCCAACACCTTGCAGTTAGCAGTCCAGTGTTTATACAATATATGACTTTACTGAAGCCCTTGGTGCAACATAACTGAATTTCAGGACTAACATAAACCCATGAAAGCATAAATTCCCCAAAGATGTTGTTCCAATACATACACACCTCCATTAACCAATTAACTTTATACAAGTTTTTAAAAAACTTTCTAAAAACTATTTGATTCAATCAATTTATATTATTGATTGGTGACTCAAATTTTTCACCATTCTATATATCTGTGAATGCCTGTAAAAGCACAAGTTCTGATTTTGGAGTTACAAATAAATTTTAGTAAGCAGACAAATTCACAATATAAAATCCACCAACAAATAATAAAGATCAACTGAATAGTGTTAAGCACTGGACTGTGCACCATAAGATAAGTGATTCGAGCCCACCAGTGAAGCCCACCATTCAAGCCCACCAGGAGAGAAAGAGGAGGTTTTCCGTACCCACAAAGAAGCCCTATACAAGGTTGCTATGACTAAGAACGGTACACCAGTGGTACCAATACACTAGAAATTATAATAGTAATTATAGTTTAAGTTCACCTAAACTTAATCTATTAAATGTCAACATAACTAACATTTTATGAAGAGTAACTGTTTCCCAAAACAAAACAAAAAATTAATGTGCAGTCACGGTTTACATTTTTGCAAACCTCTTTTTAATGACTAGATTTAAAGAAGGTAGTTAGAATCTACTATATATGCTTCTATATAAACTGTTACAACATATGGTTTGAGTTGCAAAAAAAAAAAATAGCTAATCTCACAAAGATGCACACATACACACACATGAGGGTGAGTCAAAAAGTATCCACACTCCAGTTATATTAAAACTTCTGTTAGCTGCACTGTCTTTATCAGCCCTTTCCACTCAAGGTCACTGCTATGCAGGTGTGAATGTGGACATTTGCAAACAAAATGGACTGATACTCAAAGGAAGGTAAAATTTCTTTTAAAAAAATCTTTACTGATGATGAAACATGAATTAATCACTGTGAGCCTGAGAGCAAACAGCAGAGTATGGAAAAGAAACATCCTCAACTGACAACCAAGGAAAAGTTTAAAAGTCAATTATCAGCTAGAAGATTGATGCTTACAGTTTTCTGGGATTCTCAAGGGCCAGTATTGGAATACTATCATGAAAAAGGTTCAATAATCAACAATGCTCCTTACAGTGAGATGCTCACTGAAGAACTGAAGCCTCAACTTCAGAATTTAAAAAGCAGAGGACTACTAGCCAAGGATGCTGTGATGTTGCATGACATTGCACATTCACACACCTCTGCCCACACTGCTGACACACTACAAAAACTTCATTTTCAGATGTAAAAGCATCCTCCCTATAGGCCTGATCTTGCTCTATTGAACTTTCACCTACTTGGTACCCTGAAAGCAGCCTTTTGAGGACTAAGATTCACCTCTGATGAAGATGTGAAGACAGCAGTGTATTTGTGGCTCGCAGCTCAGCCTAAAACATTTTTTAATATGGGAAAGCTTGTTGACAGATGGAAAAGGTAAGCAAAGAGATAATGTCAAAACTGAAGTATTTATCTTTTCTAAAAGCTGATTTAAATAAATTCTGTAGCCAGAGTGCAGATAATTTTTGACTCATCCCTGTAGATGAAAAAAGGAGAAATAACCAATTGTGGCTATTTTTCTGTGATGCTTTACCAAGTTTGACATGCAGGAATTTCTTAAAGATCAATTACAATGTAGAATTTGAAACCCTATCAGTAAATTTTCAATACTCTATCACTGATCTATCTTGGACTTTAAGTATATGATAATTTTGTAGCATAAATGAGTTTGTCATTTGAAAAATACTTGTTCACTGAGTAATACAGATCTTCTAAATGCTCATGCATTTTAATAGTCCAAAAACCCTATTTATTAATATCACCACTCATCTCATCAAAAATAGTATTGAAAAACTATTAAGCTCATGGTAAAACATTCATATTTTCTAAATTCCAATTTTCATTTAAAAGCTCAAATTTTATAATGGACAACAACCACCATCTGTTTTTTTTCTTGCAATAGAGGTTATGTGAGAAAATATCTGAAAAAATATCTTTTATTTAAAGGACTGAGTCTCAGTTACTATAGTTTGTCAGGTGTTCTTCCAAGTAAAAACAGTATCCCATGAAAATAGCATCTAGTAGCTCTTGAAATTCAAACAACTAATACAAGTGCACCATTAGAGGAAAAAGTGTTTTTCAAAGACAACTTACTTCAGGATGCAGATTACTTTATTAAAACCCAATTAATTACAAAGAACATTACAAAGACAGAGTTGGAAAAGAAAATCAAAACCACAGTAAGACACCAAAAAGATAAACAAGTTTTGGTGGAGATATAGGAAAATTAGAACCCCTGTAAATTGGTGGTAACTGAAACTCCAAACTCACTGCCATCCAGTTGATTCTGACTCAGACTGCCCTGTATAGGGTTTCTGAGACTGTCAATCTTTATAGGAACAGAAAGCCTCCTCTTTCTTGACCTGCGGACATTGTGGTTTGCAGTCTAGTGCTTATCCTTACAGCACTACAAGGGCTCCAAACTGCTGGTGGTGTGTGTGTAGAGTCCATTCAGACTCAAAGGTGACCTGTACTGAGTTAACTAGACTGTAAATCTTTACAGGAGCAGAAAGCCCCATCATTCTCTCAGAATGGATGGTAGTTTCCCACTGCTAACCTTGAGATTAGTAGCCCAACTCATATGCCACTACACTACATGGGTTCCTTCCAAACTGCTGGTAGGAAAACCATTTTGGCAATTTTACATTATGGGAAAACAAGTCACCAAAGAAAAAATGGCTTAGCCAAAAACAATATAACTATCTAGTGGCTGAGACAATATAAGTAATCTTTACTCCCAAGATTATGTTTTCACTATGTCAACCTGACTCTCCAACCAAATACAATTTTAAAAACATTTTACCTACATCACACCTATGTTACCTACCCAAGACACCCTACCTCCCAAATAAAACTTTTAAGTAATGGCTTAACAGTACTAATCAGATATGAAAACAAATATGAAATTGATAGGGAAAAACTTCAAATGTAATTGGTGTAACAGAGAAATTAGTCCTCAATGTCAAAAATTACAAAGTTTCAATGGAGAACAATCTGGAAAATATTTTTATGTCACTTTTCATACAACACTGAGAAATGTACTATGGCTTTTTAAAGAGAGTCAAAGGCTGATAAATATCTAAAGCAATGTTAACGTCTCACTGAATTGATCTATGGCATAACATAATCTAAAACAGACAAAGAATGATCTTCTAGCAAACGCTGTATAAAATAAACTTACCTGCAGGACTGTCGGCATTCTCTCCTGGATGTAGCTGTATACCAGTAGAATCTATAGAGTTTACTGTAACTGTCTGTAGATTTGGCAACTGACCAGTGCTTAGACTAACTGGAGTTGAAGTCAAGGCTCCACCTGCTGCAACTTGACCAAGCGTGAGTGTCTGAACAGGTGTCAACGTTATTTGTTGGGCAGCAGTATTCTGTATTTGCAAGTTCTGCAAGTTCTGGACCCCTTGTACTTGAAAGGTTTGCCATGTTATCTGTCCAGAAGGGGTCACTGTCTGTGCCTGAATTAAAAAGGTTCCTGGATTCAGCTGCAACTGAAGATTTTGCAAAGCCTGTTGTGATATATTTTGACCGCTGGCTTGCACACCATGGATTGTCTGTGGTGTAATACCTTGCACAATTTGGGCTTGACTGGTTGGCTGCTGAGACTCTTGAAGTTGTAGATGTTGTACAATAGGCTGTGCTGTAGAAACCTGAATATTCTGAGCCTGTGTCTCTTCAGAAACAGGCGACTGGATATAATTTCCCTGAAGATCTGAAGAATGCACTTGCCCACTAGAAGTGGTCAAGCTATTTGTGTTTTGTTGTAATATACCTGTACTATCTATAGTAACAGGCAACTGTGATGAAGAGGAGGTTGGCACAAATAAATCTGTATCAGTATTAGTTTCATTAATATCAGGAGAAACCCGTTCACCAGTCCTTTCTGAATTGTCTGAACTATCCATAGCTTGTCCTGTATTTATCAAATGTCCATCGGCATTAATGCCTGCAGTCATTGTCTGAGAACTGCCAGAGAGTCCCAAAGAATCTAGATCGACACTATTGATTGGTACAAAGGTAATATTTCCTGGCAGACCAAGAGGCACATTAGCAACTACTTGGGTTTGGCCAGGAAAAGATGAACCACCAATTGCAACTCCCTGAACCTGGACCTGACCAGTCTGTGGTATGAGATCCTGGATATTACCCGGAGGTGTTCCCGAGGCAAGTAAAGTTTGATTAGAGCCAGGAATGATCTGAATTTGACCACTTTCTTGATTTATACCCCCATTATCTGAAGAGCCTGTAAAACCAATCTGAACCTGCTGACCATCTGATGACTGGATCTGTGGTATTACTTGATATTGAACATTGGACACTGTACCATTTGATGGCTCTGATCCTGGTGCAACTGAAAATATTTGTTGATTCTGCAAATTCTGAAGGGGAAGGACATACTGCCCACTTGAAGTAGTAGCACTTGGAATCTGTACTAGATTACCAGCTTCATCTTTTATGGTTGTTGGTGTGGCTGACAAAACCTCCCATCGATTTGGTGCTCCTCCTAACTGTGCAGAAGCCAAATCACCTGTCTGGATGAAGAAAACAAAAAAAAAATGTTACATGATATACTTGTGAGCTATTTAAATCAATCCTTGAAAATTGGCATCAATCCTACTTCCTGAAGATAGGTTATCTTATACACAATAGAGTTCAAATACAGAAGCAGTGCTTTTTGAACTACAAAAACAATCACTTCCAGTTTTGCTCGTTATTATGATGGTCCTATTTGGGGGTGGGAAATCACAAATTAATCTTCTAGTTCTTGATCTAGGATCACTAACGCTGTGTTTCTGTTCTTGTTGCTAGCTAAGTGCTGTCGAATTGGTTTCTACTCACTGCAACCTTGTACAGGGTTTCCAAGTCTATAAATCTTTTGTGGGAGCAGAAAGCCTCCTCTTTTTCCACAGAGGGGCTGATGGGCTTGAACCCCCGACCTTGTAGTTTGCAGCCCAGTATTTATCCTACAGAGTCACCACACTCCCTACTAATACTATACAATTTAAAAAATAAAAAGGTGAAGGTAGCTAGAGTTTATGGACTTCTCAAACTAAAAACTATTGGAAAATTCAAAGAGCATGCAATCCTCTAAAAATGTATCACTAAACCAGGTGCTTTATATATTTATGAACAAGAAAAAAACACTACTTGTGCAATGTTTTCTAAGTTTCCCAAGTTAGAAAAATAATGTTACTATAAAATGTAAATCAAGTGAATCCATACGATAAGCACTAGACTACAAGCAACAGGATTAGCAATTCGAGTACATCAAGTTACTCCTTGGGACAAAGATGAAGCTTTCTACTCCCAGAAAAAGATTTAAAGCCTCGGCAACCAACACAGGGTGTCTGTGAGTCAAATCCAACTTGACAGCACTTAACAACAATAACGCTATTATGAAGGCGGGCTGGGCTGGTGATGGATGTAGTGGGTTGGTTACACGTTGGGCTGCTAACCACAAAGTCTTGAATTCAAATCCACCATCCGCTCCACAGGAGAAAGATGAGGCTTTCTGCTCCCTAGAAGATATACAGCCTCAGAAACCCTACACAAGGTCCCTAAGGTGTTAGAACCAACTTGGCCACCACTTTTAGCTGTACACCACTATAAATGCATGGCTAGGGTTACTCCATTAGCAAGCCATCAATGTTCTTTACTTTTCTCATGAACTACATACGAAAAAAATATGAGACCTTAAAATAACGAGTTAAGGTTTTTGTCCTATGACCACACAGCAAAAGTAGCCCTATCTGAAAGGTTCTCCTAGAAACTAAAAGCTGGAGGCTATTGGTATGGCTTTTCCTACTACTCTATTTTACATCTGCAGCAGAATGGCAGGCATACACATCTTGCATTGTGTGACTTGCTAGTATCTTAGGCATCATCCCCTAATTGTAGATTACACAAGATTAGAGAAATATTAAGGTAGAAAAACACAATGCAATCAAACCCTACTACGGAGTCCTGGTGTAGTACTGTGGGTTAATGCGCTGAACTGCAAGGTTGGTTTGAATCTCAAGGTTGGCGGTTCAAGCTCACCAGCTGCTGCTTGGAAACACTATACAGGGCAGGGACATTATTGGTTGGAACAGACTCGAGGACACTTAACAATAACAACATGACAATGTCAGTAAGGTTTTTTTAAAGGGAATAACAGTAATCTAAAATATGAGCTTTTCTTTTACATACCAAGCATAAGGGTAGGAGTTACAAGATTGTGTCATTTACTTCGTAAAGAGCTCTGGTACCATAGTGGTTACGAATAAGGCTGTGAACCGCAAGGTCAGCAGTTCGAAACTACCAGCTGTTCCGCAGGAGAAAGATGAGGCTTTCTGTTCCCATAAAGATTTACAGCCTCGGAAAACCTATACAGGGTCACTATGAGTCGGAACCAACTCCACGGCACATAACCACCACCACCACCATTTACTTCTTAAAACAATTCAGGTGGTGTCATCCCCATTTCACCAATAAGAAAACTGAGAGATAAGACCACGTACTTATTAAATGGTTGAAAACAAATTTAAAATCAGGACAAATCTAACTCTAAAACCAATGCCCTTATTCATTATATCATACTTGTCTCCCACTGGGGGATGATACCCTCTATGAACAAATCACCATTAAAATAAAGCCAGACAGCTGTGGCTCAGTAGGATAAGCAATGGACCGACAAGGTTGGCAGTTCAAAGCCACTGGCTACTCCACAGAAGTCCTATACAGGGTTGCTATGAATTGGAACTGATTCTACGGCACTTACCACCACCCTACTTTCAGGAACTCCGGTGGCACAGAGGGGTAAGCATTGGGCTACTAGTAGCAAGGTCAGTGGTTTGAACCCATTAGTCACTCTGCAAGGGAGAAAGATGAGGCTAGCTGCTCAGACATCCTGGGGAGCAGTTATACTGTCCTACTACGACTCACGGCACACAGCCACCACCACCACTACAAGTCAGAATCGACTTGATGGCACAGGTTCTGAGATTCTCCTTCCATTTAGGCCTACTTGTGATTTCCTGCAACTTTACCACTAGACAATAAACACACCACCATATCTAAGCCAGTATTCTCAACCTAGGGATCCATGATTGGGATTAAAAGAATCTAAGGCCTCTTGTGGAGTCCTGGTGTGGCTCTGGAGGTTAATGCGCCAGATTGCAAAGCCGTTTGAACTGCAAGGTCGGCGGTTCAAATTCACCAGCTGCTCCTTGGAAACCCTATACAGGGTCGCTATGGGTCAGAATCGACTCGACGGCACTCAACAACAACAACAAGGCCTCTTGTAGCATAGTGGTTATGAGTCAGGCTGCTAACCTCAAGGTCAGCATTTGAAACTACCAGCTGTTCTGCAGAAGAAAGATGAGGCTTTCTGCTCCCGTGAAGATATACAGCCTCGGAAACCCTATACAAGGTCGCTCCATGGCACATCCCCACGAAGTCTCACAAAGTCTTTAGTGTAGCACTGTGGGTTAATTTGCTGGACTGCAAGGTAGGTTTGAACTGCACGGTTGGTGGTTCAAGCTCACCAGCCACTCCGGAAACCCTATCAGGATCACCATGAGTCGGAACCAACTCAAGGGCACTTAACAACAATGAAGTCTCTAAAATAGAACAACTTTTTGAGGAAGTACAATTTTAGGGGAAGGGAGTCACATGGGGAACCATACCCTCTATGAAAAAATCACCATCAAAATAAAGCTAACTGATATAGCTCTGTAGGCTAAGCACTGGACTAAAGGCAGTTCAAAAACACCAGTTAACTCCTTGGAGACCTTATTCAGGGTCACTATGAGTCAGAACCGACTCGACAGCACTTAACAACATTAAGTCTCTAAAATAGAACAACTTTTTAAGGGAGTCCAATCTTAGGGAAAGGAGTAATGTATGTAATCATTGTCTCAAAACAGACTTAAGATCTAAAAAAGATTAAATACTGTTCTCCCGACATAAACCATTCCATAAAATTTAATGCAAATATTATAGAAACAAAAACTTTTCGGTTTCTAATTTTCATGAAGACCCATAGTTAGGAAGTACGTATTTCAATGGATGCACCAGTTTAATAACCCAATTCAAACATTTGAGCCTATCTGCCAAATTAAACAAGCATGTGAATCAACCCATTGATACACAATCTGTCTTCCAATAGCTCACATTGTATCCAAGCTGACTTGCACATACATACTACCAAGTGAAAAGCGGTATGCACTAACCATATGATCACACAAGAGGTATTTTACAATAAAAATGTTCAACATGGAAAGTTAGGAAATAGGAATAAAAAAAATTAATGAAAATTTAGCAACAATATTGTCATGGACAAAAAGAAACTCCAAAGAATAACATAGTTTGGCATTCAAGAGAATGCCTGAAGAGGCTCAGATTCCTAGATTTCTAGAAGTAATAGGGAACCAAATTAAACCTACTGCCATCAAGTTAATTCCAACTCACAGCAAACCTGTATAGGGTTTTCTTGAGACTGTAAATCTTTTCGTGAGCAGAAAACCTCATCTCTCTTCAGAAGAGTGGCCGGAGGGTTTGAATCGCCTACTTTGTAGCGGAGAACAGGACTAGACATTCCTATCTGAGCAAGTAAATGGCTTCATAGACTCTGCTAAGGAGTTTGGACTTTATTCTGCAGATTGTGAAGGAAAGCTGTAAAAGGTTTCTAAGCAAGTAAGTGGTGCGCTAAAGAAAGGTAAACTAAGACCTAGTGAAAGAAGACGAAAGAAAGGCAGAAGAGACTAAAAACAGTGAAAATGTTGGACCAACTACAAATGTCAACAACTCCTGATTTGGCACTGTAGGATCAGTTCTGGACTGTGAAACACAAGAGCAGCAGTTCAAACACACCAACTGTTCCTTGGAAACCCTAGACAGGGTCGATATGAGTCAAAATCGACTGGATAACACATAGCAACAAACTAAAATAGTTATTCATCCTTTAAACACAAAGACAATTAAAATGAGGCACCAGACATCAAAATTACATATTCTTTAACTTCTATCTGGTATAAAAATCACAAACTTAAGTCATCTTTCCTAATACTACAATATAATTCATGTTTCATTTCAGTCTATTGGAATTTTAAGTACACTAAAGATATTTAAATCTATTCATTAAACTTTATTACACAATTTTTACTGAAGCCTGTCTAAAATCCAATGGATTAGCACTGGACTACAAACCAAAAGGTCTGCTGTTGAAACCCACCAGGTGCTCCTGGAAAACCCTGTACACAGTTGCTAATGAGTCGGAATCAATTCAACGCACTTAATAACAACAATCTTACGAAGGTTGTTCATCTTTTGAGACTCAATTGTTCGATTTTTTTCTGACCAGCATTAAGTTTACAATTATTCAATTATCACCAAGACTGTTGTGTTAAGTGCCAACGAGTCGGTTCCGATCATAGCGACCCTGTATAGGGTTTCCGAGAAGTGGATGGTGAGCCTGAACCACCAACGGCTCTGCAGTCTGGTGCATTATCCCACAGTGCGACACCATATCTCATACACAAACTAATTTTAAAATACTTTCATTTGTCACTCTTTATTCCTTAAAAAAAAAATCATTATTTATGACATCAAAAATATTTTTTCCAAGTAACAATGAAGACAGAGTATGACAGATCAAATATTCAACCTTTAATAAAAGCTTTCCAGTCAAAGAGATTCCATGAAAATAAGTACAACCACTCAAATGACAAATCTAATGAAATGCTGCCCAAAAGTTGCCCCTGCACAGAGGCTAAGTCAAAATAAACTACAGTACCATTTTCTCCAGCAAAGTAGGATATTAACTGAAGACAAATTCTTAAACCAAGAATAAAGTGATATTCTGAGGTGGTTTTTTTTTTGTAAATAAACTTAAGCTGAAAGTATTTAGAAAAATACATATGAAGCACAGAAAAAGGATTGTCTTTTGTGACAAATTTGCAATTTTAAAAAATGTATTTAGGTATTTGATTTTTTACAAAGGAATGGGGGAAAAAAATTTTAAAAAACAAAACTAGATTTCATGATTTAAACTAAAACTATTCATGTGAGGTGGTGCTGTGGGTTAATGCGCCTGACTGCAAAGCTGTTTGAACTGCAAGGTCAGCGGTTCAAGCTCACCAGCTGCTCCTTGAAAACCCTACAGAGTCAATATGGGTAGAAACTGACTAGATGGCACTTAACAATTAAGGTGAGGAGAGGAGGCAGGGTACTGGTACACTAGAAAGAAAACAACTCCAAAATGAATTTTAGTCCTAGATAACAATGTGTGATGAGACAACTCTCAAGTTCTTCATGTTAAAATAAAGTGGGAAGAAATAATACCTTTCAGGGTTATAAAAATCAAAAGACAAAGTTAAGCTTTATGAACTAGAAAGTGAAATGCAATCCTAAAACCAAACCAAACACACTACCACTGAGTCAATTCCAACTAATAGCGATACTATGGTAGCAGAACAGCCCCAGAAGTGTTTATAAGGATGAAATCTTTAGAAAACAGTGTCCCATCTTTCTTCTTCAATGCTCCAACTGCTGACCACTTGGTTGGCAGTGGAGTGCTTTAAATCACTGCACCACCAGGGTTCCTAAAAGAAAACAAAGTACACCCAAATACCAAATATTGTTGTTGTTAAGTGCCACTGAGTTGGTTCCAACCCACTGCAACCCTGTATAGGGTTTCCCATGAGCAGCTGGTGAGCTTGAACCAAATGAGAAAGGAATAAATTAGAAAATCCTTTAAGATACAAAGAAAAAAGGATCCTAGTTTACTGGAAACACCATAGAAAGGCAGAAAAAGACTACTATTAGGCTTATTTTGTTTCTAAAACAATGGTTTGTGCACCAAACCCAGAAACCTAAGGTTACAACAAAATGAACCTCTATATAACCTTCTACATAAATTTATAAACTAAAAGCAAGGTCCACAACTGTTTGTTGGTTTTGAGTAACTCCTTTGAGTAACTCTAAACCCTTACTGGACAAAACAACATCTATCATGGTAGCTGGCATTATAGTAAAAAGTTGCCACTGAAGATATTCAAGTCTCCATCTAAATATAAACACATAGCCACATGACAAAAAAGGACCACAACCTAGAGTAGCCCTGGGTGGCACCAGCAGTGACATGGCTATAGTAATTCATTACAAGAGCATTCTCTAGTGCAAACAGGCATAAAAACAAAGGGGAGGGAGAGAGTAAAAGAGGTATCTACTCCTAGTGTGGTGCTGTGGGCTAATGTGCCAGACTGCAAAGTCAATTTGAACCACAAGGTCAGCGGTTCAAGTTCACCAGTTGCTCCTCGGAAACCCTATACAGGGTCACTATGGGTCAGAACTGACTCGATGGCCCTTAAAAACAACAACAACAACTCAGAGAATACCTATGGAAAAGGAAAAAGAGAAAACTCATGCCACATTGCATAACATTTGGAAAAGATTAACTTCTCCGTTCCCACAAATGGCTTTTTGAAAGCGAGACACAAGCAAAGAAGAGTATGTGTAAGTAAAAACAATAACAAGTGTAAATAAACCATGCTTAGGCAAACACTCAAGTTTTTTAAAACCATCAAGAAACATCAACTCAAAAATATTTTAAGTAAAATAAGCCAGTGTATTATTTATAATGATATTGTAGGTCTTAGTAAAAGCAATAGCAATAACAACCTCTTTTTGAAAAATGCTGTGCTGATTCATGTTTTAGCTCATCAACATGAATGGACTAAATTACTGAAATACTAAATTTACAACCTAAACTGAAAATAAGGTTCCATAATATTTCTCTTACTTTAATTAAACTAAAATACAAATGGAATCAACTAATTCACAAATTCACACAAATGCAAAGGAGACAAGTTGATACTTATTTTTAACCTATTTCTGATTTACTACTAAAATTAACTACACAACTTACAGTAATAAAGTAAAAGAAACTTCTGTATGAAATCATTTTTGGAAGTCCATATGGTGGGACCACATTATAGGTGAGACTGCTTTGCTATTATAGTTAGAGCTATAACCAAACACTCTTTCTTGGTCAGGATCCAAGATGAACTCAAATTAAAACAAATTTCAAATGATGGTTAAGGTATATCTCAAGCACAGCTGATTGGCTTTTCAAGGTATAATTAACACAAAGGCTAAACTGGCATAAAGTTTAATCTTATGTATATAGTCCCACTCCATTTTAAAGACAATATACCACAATACAATGTGGTATCCAAGAAGAGAAAAAGGGCATTACTAGAAAAGGTGGTGAAATGCTGACAAAGTATGTAATTAATAATAATCATACCAATGTTAATGTCCTAGTTTCTACTAACTCAAGTACACCATGGTGATGTTAACATTAGGAGAAACTGGATGAAGGGTATACAGTAGTTCTCAGTACTTACTCTATGCCACTTTTCTGTAACTCTGTACAATTACTGCAAAATAAAAAATTTATTTTTAAAGTAACAAATTCTGCAACCCTCTGATTTTTAGTAACTTAAGTAAAATTATTATTTAATCACATTTTCAAATAGACAAAACATGCCTACCGCTCGCTCCCCTAAGTTAGTCCTCTCATTTTGAGATGTAGACATCTGAAATTCACTTTTGACCTAGAAAAATAATTTTCCTATTTGCTCAGGAAAATGTATCCAAGCTGGCCACACCAATTTTAATCAAAGTGACCCTTTTTGGGGGCACAGGTTCCAAACATGCAAAGAAAACAATGCTCCAGCTGATTCTAGTTCTCGTTCATCTGGCGGGAAATGTGTGTCAGTAATGATTTGATAGTTGGTAGTCTACAGGAGGAGCTATGCCACAGTTGGGGCAGAGGTATGGCAACAACTTCCCTATATGTAAATGGCCAAAGATGTCTAAAGCTGAAGATAGTACTCTATCCCCATGTCTGAGATTCACACGTGTATACATACACATATTTTACAAATAACTTCCTCCTTTATATCTTCCCCTCCCCCACCCCTTCCTCATCTGTGAGCTGCTATTGAACCGTGCTAAAGTTTCAGCTACAAGAAACGTTTTGCTCCTTTTTACAATATAAAAAAGGTAAGTAGAAGCAATCTGCTTTGAAATTTTACTTATGTAGTGCTTTTCTAGAATAAACATTGTTTTAGCACTGTGGGATAAATGGACAGTTCACTACAAATAGATCCATAGATCTGTTTCTAAAGAAAAACTCGTCTCACAATTTTACGTTTTTATATTTTAATCTGTCTAAAAAAGCACAATTGAAAAAAAAAAACAAAAAAAAAACCTCTCAAGACAGTAAACTGGTCACATCCCCCAACAGTGTAACAATAGTGTGTCCTAATTTTAATATTAACTTTTAACACCTAGATGTGCAAGTATTTGCCACAGAACATACCAAACACCACTCTTTTAATCAATAGTGACTATTCAAAACATTAGTACACAATCAATTCCTATACTCCTTTTCAGAAAACAAAAAATAGAAAGGAGTTTCACTGTATTAGTATGAGGACGTCTACACGTTGAAAGAAATATAAAATTCACAATTAACAGTCGAAAAGCGGTTAGCAGTCAAAAAATTAGCTGTTTGTAGAAAGCCCTCATAACACACTGACCAGCTCCTGAACACACTCTGAAAACACTACAAAAATCTCACCTTATCTCATCAGACTAGCTAACACATCATGAAAATACAGCTTTGTCAACCAAACTCAACAATTGCACGTAAATCCCTAACTTGGACTTTTTCAAACACGAGCATCATTCCATTTCAAAAGCCAAAGTGATATCCAAGAAACTTGGTTGAGTCCAACTGTCATTAATTAAATGTTTTACTGCCCTTACAAAAAATTACAAATTTAAGTGGCAGTCTGCATAAAAGTAAAATTCAACGATGTTGAATGGCCACTAACAAGCACTCAAAACTACTCGCCTTACACACAAAAGGGTAATTCACAGAGTAAGCCTTCATTCTAGTTCTTTCGTTTTAGGAATGTAATCATTCAGATCTAGTAAGTTCTAACAGAAACAGCTCCAGGTTCAAAGATATTAAAATCCCACAGCCTAGCCTCTCTAGTTAATACTATGGCCGACAAGCTGTACTTGAAAATTCTGTAGTCGAGCGAAGGAGTTTTCAGCCCTATGTGAATGGTTCCAACATCCATTTTGGAGCCCTCTAGCCCCCAACTTCTAGGGCCTCATTTTGTAGGGAATTGTGAGTGAGCTGCCGCAATGACAATTTACGGGAAAGCCGGCGTGCACAGCACAGGCCAGGGCGCCCAAGCGGGCGGCGGGGGCCGGCGCCGGCGCCAGCAGGCCTTTTGGGCGGGTGCGCCCCAGGCCCGGGATGGCGGGCGCGGGGCCTAGGCGGGGGCAGGCCGCGCGCGCGGGACTTACCGCTCCGGCAGTGGCAGGGGCCCCAGCAGCGGCGGCCGCCTCCTCCTCGTCGTCCCCCGGTGATGGCGGCCCTATCTTGCTGCAGGTAGCGGCCAGCAGAGCGAGCGGTGACGGCTGAGTGTCCTACCCCCGATGGGCGGGTTCAGAGAGGGAGACAGGGGGAGGGGGTGGCGGTTAGGGCCGGGCCGCCGCTGGCTCGCACAGGAAGTGAGACTGGGTCCCGCCGGCTGCGCCCGGGCCAGCGCCAGCTCGCGCTCTCCTCCTCCTCCTCCCGGGCTCCGAACCGTAGGCACCCCGGCACCGCCGTCCACGGGCAGGCGGCGGGCTACGCGCCGGGCCTTCACCTTCCGCCCGGAACCCACCCCCGGGAGGGCGAGCGCGCGCGCGCGCGCACACACACACACACACACACACACACACACACACACACACACACACACACACAAAAGGCAGCGGGCGGGGGGCGCGCGGGCGGGGTCGGAGCGTTGGCGCCTCGGGCGGGCAGCTCCCGGGGCGGGGGGAGGGGAGGAGGGACGCGCGGAGGAGGGAGGGAGGGGAGAGGCGAGGGGAGGAGAAAGCGGCGAGAGGGGGGAGTCAGGCCAGGGCTCCGCCGCTCCTCACCTGGGCCGCCGCCGCCGCCGCCGCGCCGTTTCCGTGCTGCTGTTGCTGTTGCTGCTGCTGCTGCAGATACTCGCCGTGGCCGCCGCCGCTGCCCCCGCCGCCGCTGTCTACATCCAAGGCAGCCATTTCCTCTTGTTTCACGGGCTTTTCGGGAGCTGCAGGCACAGCGCGGGGGAGGGGGAGGCAGGGTGGAGGAGAGGGAGGGGGCCCGCGGGCCGAGGCGAAATGACTCGGAAAGCACGGGCCGAGTCCCCTTCCCCTCCCCCCCCGTCCCCCGGCGGCGGCGGCGGCGGCGGCTCCCTCCTCCCCTCCCTCCTGCTGCTGCCCCCGCCCGCCGAGGCTGTAACCCTCCTCCTCCTCGTTCCCTCCTCCTCCTCCTCCCCGCACTGCCCCTGCCCCCTCTCCTCTCCTCCCCTTTCCCTTCGCGCCGCTCGCTCTCACTCGCGCTTGCTGCTCTCGCCCCGTCAGTCACTCACACACGCCCGCCCGCTGCCCGCGCCTGCACGCTGGGGGATGCGCTCCCGGAGGACTGGGCCGCCCGCCCTGGGGCCCGGCGGGGCGACGGCGTGGCTGGGGCCTGACGGGTGGACGGTGGCTGGCGAGGAGGGGGGGGAGGCGAAGGGGAGTGCGGCTTTCTGCCTCTCACAGACACTCGGTCATACACACGGAGCCGGAGGCGACGGCGGCCCCGGGCTGGCTGTGGTCGGCGGCGGCGGCAGCAGCAGCAGTAGCAGAAGGGGTTGCTCTCTCGGCTTTACGTACCGGTCATAGTGTGTTTAGGGCACCTCAGGCGGGACTCCCCGCCGCCTTACACATGGTGAGGAGCGAAGGCGGCGGGAGAGGATGCGGGAAGCGGCGGCGGACACGGCCGGAGCGGTCCGGGGATTTTTTTTTTCCTATTTTGATTGACTGTGCGGGAAACACAAAAGGTGGAGCCTCCAGCCCAAAAGGGGGGAAGAGGGTGACAGCCCGCCCGGAAGTCCTGCCCCTCTTCTTCCCGCTCATTCGCCACCACGCTCTCTGCCGAGTGCACTCATTGGCTAGGACACCCGTCCGTCGCTCGGCCGGGCGGCGCGCTTCCTGTTTGCCCCCGGGGTGGAAGGGAAGAAACAATGAGGGGCCGAGGCGGCGTAGGTTCCCGGGAGCGACTACGGCTCGCCCGTTACCCCGCTGTGCCTGCCTCGCTGGTCGGCTGCCGCTGCCAGGCCCAAGACGCAAGCCTCTCCCACCTCGCAGGCGCTCGGAGCAGGCCCCGCCAAGCTGTGGGAGAGCCAGGCTGGGAAACAAATCCGTCCCCGGTGGCTCCGGCTCCGATCGACGCGTCCTCCATCCCGGCGGCCGGATCTCCCCAAGGCCTCGCTCTTCGGAGCCGCAGCTTTTCTGCGCTGCCTAGAGGCCGCCGCCGCTCAGCCCCGGGGCTGCTGCTGCGGCCGCTGCTGCTACTGAGCACACCAGACCCGCCCCACGAGCCCGGGGGGAGGGAGCTGGTATTGGGGGAGACACCCCCTCCGAGGTTGGAGGAGGATTTCTCTCGCACACATTCAGTTCCAACTTCCACTGTCAGCCATCTCCTTCCCATCCCCCTTGCTTCTGGTTTCTGAACCCTGAGATACGCATTTAAAACAGAAAAATAAAGCTCCAGTCACCACACTCACTAGGAAGAGAACTTTAATTCTGGTCAGGCAACAAAACAAATTATAAAGTGTATTTCACTCTATATGCGGTGTGTAGGTAGTCAGTGGGTCAGAATCCAAAAAGTCAAATTTCATCCTTAATCATTTTGCTGCACAGCTACATTTTTTTCCCACCTCTTAATTCTCTTGATATTATGTCAATGTCTAAAGTTTATTAGCGATCGCCAGCATTTTAAAAATAATGACTTTCATCGAGATATGCTTTTTATTTTTTCCCCCTCTAAAATATTTTAGCTATACTTTCAAATCCGGTTTGATTTATTGGATTAACACTCCTTCTAAGGTTGGCTGGCATTCTTGATCTCTTGCTATTCTCCTGGGAGGGAAATGCTCTACTCTGTTCTGTGTGTGTGTCTTGGTAAACTAAGAGACATCCCTGCCTATTACCTTTATGTGTAGTTGCCAAGAAAGAAGTTAAATGCAAGAGGTGGGAACTCTGTTCAAGATACCGCTTTTATTAGAACTCTGGCTAGCACAAGCATCAGCGTTCCAATTAATGTGATGACTCTATTTTGTGTGATAAATGAAGTTGTGCTGGGAGGTGGAAGATGCCTGGGGAGATTTGACTGTGAAGTCCAAACACTTGAACTAGATTTTGTGTAAAAAAAAACAAAAACAACTTGCTAATCCATTTGTGAACGACTCAGTCTGCATTTGAGGCCCATGTTCCTCTGATGAGAAACTGATTGGTTATTTGGCTGTTAGTTGTACAAAGGACTGCTGGCATGGCACAGGAGGATCTGCACTGGGCTGCAAACTACAAGGTCGGTGGTTCAAACCCACCAGCTGCTCTTGGGAAACCCTATGTAGGGTCGCTATGAGTTGGAACCAACTCGATGGCACTTAAAAAACAAGTTGTACAAAGGATAGAATTTCCAGGGAATTAGCCTAAAAAATAAACATGTAAAATGAGACTTGAAATTCTGAGTCCAAGAATAGAGGTTATCTCTTCTAATAGTCTTCTGTACCTTCTCTTTTAAGTAGGAAATTAACTTTAAAAGTTGAGAAATATAAATGATGTAATGAATGTATTGTATAGAAAGACGTACATTAAGTGTAAAGGAAAATAAAAGTATAAAATAAGTTGTGTTTTGCTATTTAAAAAAGGGTTGGATAACAAAAAGGAGGCCACAGGTGAAAACAACTAGGGGGGAGAGGAAGGGAAGTTATAGTTTAGTCAGGTTTTCTTATCTGAAATATAGAAGGTAGCTTTCTCCCTATATTTAAGGAACTTAGGGGTGTTTTTTCAAGAGTGAAGAGGTGTTTTATGGGTCTAAACACTTCTGTGCCCCTTTAAAAAAGGGTTAGTTCATCCTACAGGAATTAAATTCCTCATTGATACCAATTGACAAATGACTTGAAGGAATCGTTTACAAATGCCTTCTGGTCTAAAGACCATTCTTACTGGGTGCCAAAGCACCTCATCTGTCTTTCTGAAAAGAAAACCACCCATTAGAACTAGCACCTGGTTTTGAAGTAACCATCACTACTACATAATCACTTAGAGGACCCTCTCAGACCATACTTACAGAGTTATTGTCACAAGCTAGGTTAAAATGACTGGAAATGACAGTCTGTGGAAAGAACCCCTCCTAAATTCTAGCAGGTAGTCAAGTCTTGAAATACCATTTATGTTAATTAAGAGGAGTGTGTTTTCTTAGTGAAGAGCAGCCAGTCAGTGCAACTGCTCCATTACATAGGAACCCGGACTTGGCAGTTGTTTAGTATGAAGGGAGATAGGATGCTGGATATTATTTATACTTTCCTTTCCAAACGTGATTTGAGAAAGCTGCTGTGCTGGCCGCGATTGGCATCAAAGAGATCTGGGTATAATTTTTTTCCTTTCCTCCTCAATTTCATTACTTCTTTGTTTTAACCTTGTATTTTAATTATTTTGTTGTTGAAAATATACACAGTAAACCATACAACAATTCAACAGTTTCTACATGTACTATTTAGTGACATGGATGACATTCTTGGAGTTACACAACCATTTTCACTGTCCTTTTCTGAGTTGTTCCTCCCTTTCACTGCCCTTTAAGGTTCTAGCTCATCTTTCCAATTGCTGTTGTCTATGTGACCCCACAGAGATAGTTCTTAATGGAGTATAGTGCTGTAAGACTTTTTTTTTTTTTTTTTCCTTCAAGTTAAGCTAAACTATTATTTGGTTTTAAGATTTCAGAGGATATTTTCAGTTTCCATTTTGAAGACTATCTCAGGGCAATAGTTTCAGGGGTTCATCCAAACTTCATGCCTCCAGGAAGTCTGTAAAGTCCAAGAGAATTTGGAATAGTGTTATACATCTTCCCCCCTTTTGATCAGGATTCTTCTGAGAATCTTACCAAGATAGTAATAAGTCAGACATCATCCAGTTTTATATGTATTTTTATATGCTTTCTTAAATCCCTTGGGAAATCTGGCATGGAATCTTTTACTCATCTTCAACCCATATTCTTTCCACAAAAAGAAAAAATAAAATGTTGCCATCCTGTTGATTCCAAATCATAGAGATACCACATGTTATGGCATACCATAGGGCCTTCTTAGCTATAAGATTTACAGAAATTGATTGCCAGATCTTTCTTCAAAGGGACCATTAGTAGTAGTCCAGTGCAAACCCTTTGCAACACCCAGCTCACCTGTCCCACAAAAAGAGGAGGCCAGCAAATACTGTTTGATCCACATCTGCAAGAACCCAGCCATTCTCTGGGGGAAAGGGGGGAGGAGGAGCAGCAGCAACACCTGGTTAACTATCACATGTTTAAGAGTGACCTTTCTTTCTGATTTTTCTTCCTTCCTGAGCATCTAAGTTGGCCATACAAAATTGTTAACACTCAAATCATTTTGTGTCTTAAAGGTGGCAATTTTGCATGTTGTTGTTTATGTGATGTGCCATGGAGTCGGTTCCAACACATAGTTCAGCCAAAATCAACATTCCTTTAACATAACCTTTATTGCTAGGATTGTGGTCATCTATCTACCCATGGATCTCTTTAAAGAGCCCTGGTGGTTCAATGGCAAGGTGCTCCACTGCTAACCAACCTTCACCTTGCAGGAGAAAGGTGTAGCAGTCTGCTTCCATTAAGATTTACAGCATTGAAAACTGCTATTGTTATGAAGTGCCGCCCAGTCTCTTCCACTCATGAGGACCCTGTATAGGGTTTCCCAGGTGAGTTTGAATCTCCAATCATATGGTTCAAACAGACTTTGCAGTTTGGTGCTTTCTCCCACAGTGATGTTGAATCAGTGTGGACTCATAGCAACCTTGTATAAGGTTTCCAAAGCTGTAAATCCTTATGGGAGCCATCAGGTTTCCCTCACAGCCCTATGAGATCAATATTATAGATTTCTTATTTTTCAAATGAGAAAATTCAGCAAGATTATGTCACTTTCTTAGTGTCCTCTTCAAATAAGTAGCAGTGTTGGCATGAAAATCCACATCCATCAGTCTCATCA